TATTATTATTATTATTATTATTATTATTATTATTATTATTATTATTATTATTATTATTAGATTCGAAACAACTTTTAGTGCAATTTTTTCATTAGTCTCATTGTCATGGCAAAGTTGATGAACCGGTATATTTTCCTATTTTTTTTAATTTGCAAATTTAATCCCACCAATAGTTGCCACATTTAATCGTAAAATCCCATTATTTTGTCATTTTTAATTTATTATTTCCTTCAATTTTAGCCGAATGTTACGCAAGAAAATGGGAAGGATCACGAAGTTTGCAAGTTGCCATATTTTTTTTGCATAATTATATTTATTTTTTTTTATTTTAACATTTTATGTCCATTGAAAATAAGAGTCACTCTCCATTTAGTCAGTCAAAAGATTGAGCGGTTGTAAGGTCAGTAGATTTTGAAGATCTTGCTTAGTACCGCTGAGAAGTACTCTTTCGTTCACGTTTTGAAACTCGCATTCTTTCTTTTTTTTATATAAATATGAGGAGTGTAGTCTTTCCACTTAGCCACCTTCGATCAATTGCTTCTAGATTGATGTTTTTGCCTGAAGTTAATTCATTTATGATTACAAATAGTTTTGCAGTTAGAAGAAACCTGATTTTCTATACCTCCCCAAGAGCGATTCAGTTATTTGATCCAAGTCATCCCGCTATCATTGATTCTATGCTGTGATAAACACTCCTGGATTTTTCTGCACATTTTACCGCATTGGTTGGCAGTATCGATCGATGAATGTTACCGACCTAGAATAATCGTTTTTCATTGTTATTATTGCTATAGCTTCCGAAATTCGACGATTTTTTAACCAATGTGGCTTGTCGAAAATTTCTCAAGAGGTTGTTGATACTTACTTGCCTCTGGAACAGCTCTTCCTTCGAGAAATGGTCAATAAGGCAAGCTCTCGTATTTTTTGTCTACACTATGACGTAGAAATTATTCACTAATCACTATTTTTCAATTTCTAGGCTATCTTAATGGATGAGCTGGATGAGAGTTCAAAGACCTTCCGATTGGTTGATGACATCTTCTTTGTGGTGAAAAAATGCCTAGGGTACGTTCTTTTAAACGTCAGAATTGCAGTATTTAACCCTCTAAGTCCTGTGAGTGGTTCGATAATTCAGGCGATTGGATGTTGGTCTGGAATAGACCTGTGATTTAGTTACTGACCGCCTTCGCGCAGTCGCTGTGACCCTATATTAGCCGGAAATTTCGGCTTAATCCCTTTTATTGAATGGTCAAAATTTTGATAAATATTTGGTAGTGCCAAGTTTCATTCGATTTATCATTTTAAAACAACCTGTGCTGTTTGTCTTTGTGAGACCAGCTTTATGATAGGGGTTAATCAAAGTTTTCCCCGCAAATTTGTTTTTTTTATATTAGTTAAGTTCAATTTAAAACCCCTAAATATCCATGAAATGGCCGTAGAGTAGAAATTTATTCATTGTTCTCAACTAACATTTTGGTAAGCAAGTTTTCTTTATACGTTTCTACGCTTTGTTCAAGCTTATCTGCTTTCGTAAACTTTTCCTAAGACCACATCGGCTAATAATGCAATTCCATCTAGAACTCCTAACGTATCTACACAAAATTTTATTAACTTGTTTTCAGAATTCTCGAAAAATATTTATTTATTTCAAATGGCAGGCGTTTTGATTGTTATCATTAGCCCTTTAGGTGACTTCGGGCTTCATAGAGGGGAGGAGGAACATCAAAGTGACAGAAAGTCGAGGGGTTGGGAACAGAAGAGTGATTTACAGTTGTAAAAGAGACAGACACAAAGGCAGAGAAAAGGTAGGATAAGTACTGTGGAAGGGGTCGAATATGACATACAGTGGGGTCATGGTAGTTTGAAGTGAGAAGTCAACTGCCAGTTAATAGACTTTTTGCCGCATGAGTATTCGTTGCTCAGAGCGCACCACGTGAAGGTAAGTCTATCGCACACCCCTGATAATGGATTAAAGAGTGTGGAAATTAAGAAGGCAGGGTTGAAATTAGTAACCAAAAGGTAATTATTTATTTCATTTTTTAAGCAAAAGTAGTTAAATGGCTATAACAATTTGATTGAGAAAGTTTTTTGTATGATTGAGGACATATTTTTTTGTATTACGCCAATATCTCAAGAAAATTAAAACAGCTCCACCAATTGTCCAATGAAATTATTGGACGTAAATCTGCTGGAGATTTTTACTAGATTTATTCTTATCCAACAACCACGAGACAAATTTCCACAAATCCAATCGCCCTAAGGGCAATGTTGAAGCGATGTCAGGTGAAGCAAGTGGACACTGGAGGCACCAACGAAGGAACAAGCGCGATTCTCCACGCCCTCACTGTGCACAGCTGCAAGATTAAGAGAGAAAAAAGTTCGAGCGAATCGCAGTGGTTGCAGGGTCCTGCGCAAATCAATAGCAGCTTTTCACGCTAAATTCACTTTTCTTATTTTCGGAGTGCAAATTTAATTAATAAAACTTTTCATTCTCCTCGTTTATAGTCAAACTTAACTGTAAATAGAGATTTTAAGAGTGTTCCATTAAAGTTGTTTGAAATGATGGATGTTTTCTGTAGGTCTTCAATTTAAGTAACTGCGCGTGTCGAATAAGTTCAACGATAGGAACACTTCTTGACTACAACGACAATTTAATTGGAAACGTGAAAACGCAATTGGATTTCAATGAAATAAATAGGATAATATCATGCATTGCTTAATGGCATTTTAAACTAAAATATCTAAAATATTATCTACAAATAAACTGACAATTACTTCAATAATCATTTAAGTAGTCAGTCATTAAATAATGGCGTGAAGTAGGCGATTCAATTTATCGATTGCACAGATTGGGAGGTTGCTGAAAAATTAGCCTTCGTTAATCAATAATTTATTGATTACAGCATATTCTTAATATTCAGGATATTTGTTTAAATGTATCAAAGTGCGGTACAAATTTAAGAAGAACTGAGCCCATGTTGTTAGTACATTCTTATTGGTTATCAACCAGAGGAGAATTTGCGAAAATGATCAGAAAGCGTCATTTTGTTTAAATTTCCGAATCCCACTGTTAAGCATTGGTTTGTTAATCATTTTTCAAATTAATTAAAGTTTGCTAGTGAAAGAGCACATGTGTTCCTCTGAAAGGCATTATTTTCTCTTAACGTCAAACATACTAAACTCATTCTAATTTAAAATTTTATTCATTTATTTCAAATGGTTGGCGTTTTGGCAGTTAACATTAGTCCTTTAGCTGAATTCGGGCTTCACAGAGAGGAGGAGGAACATCAAAATGGGAAAAATTCGAGTGATGGGGGGGGGGAAGAAGAGTGGTTCAAAGATTTAAAAAAAAGCAGGCACAAAGGTAGAGAAAAAGGTAAGGTGAGTAATGTGAAAGGGGTCGAATATGACATACAGTGGGGTCATGGTAGTTTGAAGTGAGAAGTCAACTGCCAGTTAATAGACTTTTTAGGCTGTATGAGTATACGTTGCTCAGGGTGCACCACGTGGAGGTAAGTCTTTCGCACACCCCGTCTCGAAAAATATTGCAGTGTACAAAGCTAGCCCATTAGTTCGAGCTAATAGTTGAATAAATAAGTGAAACATTATTTGCGACGAAAAGGAAGAAAAACATCAACGATTGAGCAAATATCGTCAAGGAAAATTATTCAATTATGTGCTTACTTCCAGTTTGCTTCTTAACAAGTGGTTGTAATTTCCATAGTAAAGGATGTGGAGAGAAATTTTTGAAAAACTTCTGCCTCTAGTATTTTAAAGTGAAAATATTGTAATTGAATTATAGCGGAGTTCGTAATGAGAAACTGCTAAGTCACTATTCTGTTCTTTTTTTCTTTTGAAGTCGTGCCATATCCTCCGGTAGCGCGGATGCTGTATGCGCAATGTTCAATCATACAAACGCCGTGCTTTCCGACCAACTAATCGATGAGACCTTAATGGTGCGAACAAAGAGCGTCACATCATCAGGTTGGATTCAACAAGCCTACCACTTGGTCCACAAACGAGCTGGGAGTATGTGAAAACTCTCTACTAAATTGGATATAAGTAGTTGAATAATTTATCAATTCGATTTCCTTCATTGTAAGGTGGTACGCTAGCGACCGGGCTATTGGGCTCAGCAAGCACTGAAAATGTGACCAACGGATCCTCTAATGCCAATCAAGTGGATGCACAAACTCAGTTTATCTATGCCCTTAACTCTGTGGAAGCGTGTCTAAGTTGTTTGGCAATACTCCGTAACACCCTCGAGCAATATATCAAAGAGATTTATGGTTTGCGACGGAAATCAGACTTAAATAAGCTACAGGTGAGTTGATCATATTTACCATATAGTGCTATGAAATCCACGTTCACAGTATGACCTCAGCAGGGCTACAATTGGGATCTAGGATCATTTCGTATCCTTATTCTGGCAACAAATATTGAGGTTTGACAAACGGTATTTTAGACATTTCAAGGTAATAGGAGTTCGGGTGGTACTTGAACTCATATAATTTAATGAACCTAACAGTACATAACGTGAACACTGTTCTCAGTTTACTCATTTTTATCCGTGGAATATCAATGGGAAATGGAATAAATAGTTTTATTTTTAAATCTATATTACATAATGCGATTTCCACTACCATTTGCACATTTTCAAAATTCTTCTTGTCTTTTGATCCTATTTGAAAAAAATGTACTGTTGTTTTAAATTTAAATACTAGTTCATTTTCATCTCAATTCAAAGTCGTTTTTTTCTTTTATAACACGTTTCATTGACTTGAGAAGGTGGTAGCGAGATAGGGAAAGTCTGTGAATTTGGAGGTTGTGGTGGAATCTCTCCATTTAATCCCTCAATACTCTTGGAGGTCGTTATTGCTTTGTGGGTCAGACATCGTGATGTCAGAGAGAGTTGTCCCTTTTCTATTAAATAAACTTGAATGTTTATCAATTAGCGTTTGGTTTGATCTTCCTAAGTGTTGAAAACAATAAACTTTGGGTGTAATTGTTTCGTCTGGTTGTAGCAATGCGTAGGGGATTATTCCGTGGGAGAAGCTTTCGAAGGGTTATTCCTGGCGTGGAATAGGGATGGAATGGGTGTTTCATTTAGAGGTGATTATTGTTTTCTCTCCACTAGCCATTGTCTATGTCCCAGTAACAATTTGGGGGAAAAAATGACGATTTCATTATTGACAAGTCAATTAAGACATGCACTTTTTTCTCCACTACTTCCTTTCTGTTTTACTATGCAAGTTGATGTGGTGACACTCGAATTTCCCTCCTACTCAAATGCCATCGTCACAGTTTGCAGGTAGTTCTAATTCTGGCGTGCTAGTGTATCTGAACACAACCTGAACCCACGAATCTGCTTGTACAATGATCAATTTTCTGCTGGTACATATATGTAATCTAAATTTTTTGTCTTGCTTTGTTATTTCCAGGCTTGTCTCGCAGATCTGGCCGAGTCTTTGGCTCAAACCTTCCAAACTCTCCTAGACAGCGGTTTTGACAAACTTCGAAGTTTAATCCGGCCTCAAGTGAACTCACTCACGCAATCCTTCAACTTAGTGAAGCGTGATTTGACGGAGGTGCGTTCTCTTCAATCTTTTCGAAGATTATTTAGTCAGATCGCCTGATCGTTATTGATAGTCTTTCTTACTACTACTACTACTAGGAGGAATTCGAGCAGTATGCGGTGAATGATCCCTGGGTGGAGTCACTGATTGTGGGATTGCAGGGCCTACTGAAGTCTTTCCACGTGAGTTAAGTTTTGTCTGCTTTCGATTTAACCTCAATCATATGTGTGCGCCTAAGTCGGAAGACTCTCTTTTTTGTCGCAAACTTCCTTATTGATCATCAATGAGAGAGTAACACCCCACTAATAAAAATATGTTTCAATGCTAATATTAGCTTGACGACTAGAAGTCCCACCTGATTCGGTGCCCAGCCCTAAAGGCAACGACGGAAAGCCAGAGATGCTGAGAAGCAAGAAGACAGCTAATGAATTGCTATTAATTAACAGCTATAAATG